TGCTAACTTTAATCTTAAGTTAGTACAGCCACTGTTTTCTACGAATCGGCTGGAGCATCAAAATCGGGAATTGAGCATCAAATTAGCATCAAAAGAGCACTAAATTTCTGTATATGTTTTATTCGATTGTTCTCAAGTGATTGTGTCAGCTTAATAGACATTCTCTACTCCTCTCCCAATTCCTCCTTTCCTTACTCTTCCAATTTTTCTCTTTTCTCTCTGTCTCCCCTAACCGTCTAACTCACACTTTCGTCTTCACCGGAAGTCCCGGTGCCGTTTATATGTTAGGCCGATTATTTTTCAACCTACCCTCGAAAAAGATATTAGGGCTGTAGCGTAAACATGGCTTGAAACAAAGAAGGTTGTAGAGGAGACGGGTCTGACGATCGGGCGAACAATTAGGAATATGGATTCGGTAGGAGACGCGGTCGCGAACGAACGCATTTCTGCAGTGTAATACATATAGTCTTATAATAAAACCTTAACTTGGACTTTAAGACTGACTTTAATAAATTGATCCTGCACATCCACTTGTCTGTTCCTAAATCCAGGTGATGATAAAAGTAAAGCATAACTTAAGCCAAAATATATTACCGATCCAGATTTTAACAGAAAAGTCATGCAGAATTTTATAAACATTTAAGAAATATTTTTGTAAATTTAATAAAGTTGAATACCATTTCAACATTATTACAACAAATATTTAAGATATATTTAATGATGCAAATTATAATATTTGCGAAATTCTCAGGCACATCGCGGTTACCATCCGGAAACCAATGGCATATATTTCAGAAGTTACTGACTTCAGTATTTGGATATACGAGGTCTGTTCAAAAAGTATCGTGAATTTTGTATTTTTTCAAAAATTATTTATTTATTCATGAATATCTATTTTGTCCCCTTTAAAGTAATCCCCATCAGATATTATACACTTGTGCCAACGTTTTTTCCAATCCTCGAAGTACTTCAAAAAATCATTTTTTGTGATCTTGCTCCTCCTTCGATGCCGTCTTTATCTCCTCAATCGTAGCGTAGCGTCGTCCTTTCATGGGCCTCTTCAGTTTCGGGAACAAGAAAAAGTCACAGGGGGCCAGATCTGGGGAATACGGTGGCTGCGGCATCATTAGTGTGTTGTTTTTGGCCAAAAATTCGCGCACAAGCAGTACGAATTTCGCGGCGACCCGTCTCATGCCCAAATCATTGGTAAAAATCGAATGGCACGAGCCAATCGATATGTTTAGGTCCTCAGCAACTTCTCTAACGGTGATTCGACGA